TGCCCCCCTCAGCACCGACAGCCTGCTGACAAGCTGGCCTCAGGACCAGTCGAGAGCAGTACCAAGGGCAACATGCACAGCACGGAGCACATCGCCACCTTGGCCATGGGACATATCTCCACCTTTCTCATAACACTGAAAGTGCCACTCGTGATTTTACTCAATGCTGTTTCCTTTCAGAGGCCATGCTCCCGGTCCCCCCGGGTCTGCTTTTCTTTGCACCACCACACCCCAAGCGCTTCCTGCTCCTGGGGATGCCAGCTCCAAGTTGCTCAGATTTTTCCTGTGCTCTCCAGGCCCAACAGTGGAACGGCTGGTTCTGTCACACGGGTCCCACTAGTCAGCACCTGATCTTGGGTGCCTGGATGCCTATGTCAAGCTGGCTTATGGGACTCCTTATACAGCAGCACTCTCCTACAAGGTCTTGTCCTGCGTGTGTTTTTTTCCCCCAACACGCAGAAAACAGTCTTTTGTGCTGGACTCTCTCAACATGAGCAGAAGCTGCTGTAAGTGTCCCTCAGTATCACTCTGTGGCCTGCTCTCCTGTTCCCCCAGGTCCTGGCAGGATTGCACTTCCTGCACAAGCACTGCCGCATCATCCACGCAGACATCAAGCCAGAGAATATCCTGCTGCACGTGAGCGAGGCGAGTCTGCAGAGCTTTCTATTTGATGCAGATGCCTGGAACCAGAGCCCAGGTGTGGGTCCACTGAGGTCAGGTAGGCTGGGAGAGGGGGGAAGGGACCGCTAATTCCTCCCAGGAGGGAGCACTTTCTTGCACACCCTGCCCCAGGGGTGGTGCACGGAGACATTGCAGCAAAGCAAGAGACACGCTATGGGAGATTTACTGGCTGCTGGAAGCGCACTGATGTCTGTGCTGGCAGGTCTTTCCAGACTTCAGGAGTCTTCCCACCTGAATTACCTGCCAACCACACAAGCCCAGTGAAGGTTTGCTCATATGCAGGCATGCTGCCAAAAACCAGTTTGTGTATAGGAACAACTGCAAAATGAGGAACCTTGCACTTCGCTTGTCTGTAGCTTCAGAGCAAATACAACCTTGCAGTACGATGCAGCTCCACTTTGTATAGCAGTCTCATGCTACTTGTAATCCAGACTGCTCAGTTGTCACTGTCCAAAGGCTCACGCCCCCCCAGGGTTAAACAAAAGCTAAATCCTGTCTCTGGTCTTCATCTCCAGCATGTTTCTGAGGTTGACAGGTTCACTGGTTCCCGACTAACCGAGGTGGCACTGCCTTCTCAGGGTCCTCTCAGCTCCACCCTTCTGGCAGCGGGTGATACGTAAGCAGTTCACGGGGCTGACTCTTCCTGTGTCCTGTTGCACCCAGGGCAACCTGTGCACCTGGGACCAACAGGTTTCACAAGACAAAAGCAATGCTCCCCATGCTCTCTTGCTGTTGTTTTTCCTTCTTTTTCTTCTGCTTTTGTGTGCTAGCTCCTAGGACTCGTGTGAAATAAGCCCTCAGATGTGATCCACCTTCTCTCTGCAATTTTATTCAGCAACAGCCACAGCTGAGATCTGCCTCCTGGCACCAGGAGCTGACCTGCATCATCCTCCCTGATGCAGGTCCCAGCAAGGCTCTGCTGTTTGCCATTGGTCCTGGCAAAGCGAGTGAACCAGGACTGACTGCCTGGTCGCTGCCTCCAAACCAGTCTCCCAGTGTCGATCTAAAATCCACGTTCAAATATTTAAACATGTAGACTAGACTGCATTTCTGCTGGCATGGAAATAGGTGGAACATGCTAGAAAACAGCAGCATTAGGCCTTAAAATGATGCAACTCATGGGAACAGCTTGCGGAGCTGGGGACAATATCACGCTCCTGCTATTCCTGCTCTGTGGATGTCTCTCTGGCCTGGAGCACACACCCTGCTCCATACGCACGTCAGCACCACCCACCACCGCCACTGCAACCCTGTCTTTACCCACAGTCCCCACAGTTGTGACCGCTCAGCTCTGCAGGAGCATGGCAGTGCCCAGTCTCAGCTAGCCAGCCTACGCTCCTTCCTCCTCTTCATCTAAAACAGTGCTTTTCAATCTATGGTATTTGGACCCCTGGGGGTCTGCAGACTATGCCTAAGGGGTCCAGAAAACATGACTATGATCAATCAAAAGTATGGGAATACCCACACGTACTGGGTCTGCACCTCCATTTGCAGTATTTTGGGGGGCTGCAAATGAAAAACGGTTGAAAACCACTGATCTAGACACAGGCTCCATTGCTGCAGCAGGAATGCTGTATGATAGAGCTCATGTCACGCAATGTCTTTTCCAAGAACAAAATCAAAAAGTATTTGGTCACCTCACAACTATGCGGCTGAGCAGGTTCTGTCTGAGGTCTGTACCTAGCAGGGATCACATTTCCTCTTGCGGAGAGTAAAGGCAGGCACTGAGGATCCCCTCTCCTCCGAGGCCGCCCGGCAGAAGAGGACGAGCTGTGCGAGCTGATTCAGGTCGTGATGCTCCGCTTCATGCAGTTCCACTTTCTTCTGAAAACCCTCTTGCAGGGTTGTTTGTGCCCTGTCCTAACTAAATGGAAGTGACAAATCAGGGCTGGATAAAGAGGAACAGTCTCTCTGGTGCTGTAGGGACTTGGGGGCTAAAAAGCATCAAAGGCTTGCATGATCACATGCGTGATCTGTGACGAGCAATGCACCTGCTGCCTTGGAGAGGAGCCGATTTCTGCCTCTCTCTTGTGCAGGGGACGATCTCGTGCGTCAGTTGGATCCCTGCAGTATAATGCAACTGGGAGTGAAAATTGCAGACCTAGGCAGCGCGTGCTGGACGGTGAGTCTGTCTCAACTCTTACTCTCATGATACAAGATCACGCCCTCTCCTCTCATGTCTGACCCTGCTCTTTGGTGTCCGCCTGTCACTACACCGCCCCCTGAAAAGACAGACTGATTGAGCTTGGCATGCACGAGTTGTGCTCAGCACTCTGGTTCAGGGCCAGGCTCTCCAGGCCAGGGCAGGCTGCAGTGTTTGGGAAGGGTGAGTGGGCGCAGGGGCAGGGAGTCGGCTTCTGGAGCTAGAAACCCCAGCCAGCGTCGCAGGACAGCTTGCTCCAGGGGATGCTCGGGCTCAGCCCGGGGGTCTGACGTGTCAGCACAGCCTGGGGGTGTTCGGTGTGTTCAGTCCACGGCCCCCCGGGCCTTGTGGTGACACTGCTCACCCATGTCACGGGCCCCACGCACAGCAGCTCGTTTCTGTTCCAGTACAAGCCCGTCTGCAAAGAGATCCAGACTCAGCCGTACCGAGCCCTGGAAGTGCTTCTTGGCTTAGATTACAGCACTCCCGCAGACATCTGGAGCACAGGCTGCCTGGTAGGGACTCACACCCCGCGGATGGATGTGCCTGTGCCCGCCACGCGTGCAGAGTGGGACTAAGGCCACCACCGCGAGAACGGTTGTCCTTAAACATCAGGGTCTCTCGCTGCAGCTGGGAAGAGGGAGCCTTGCTCCCAAAAACTTGTGTGAGGAAGACAGGGGTCCTGCACGTACCAGCTGCTGGGCAAACTGCTCCTGCAGCTGCACCTGCCCGGGATGCTCGCCGCTCCGCGGCGGTTACACAGGGACGCGCGGGCCAGGGCTGAGCGAGGCCCGTGCTGGGCTGACGGGCCGAGGCCGGGCGCAGAGGCAGGCCGAAGCGAGGGCACGTGCCAGCCCCGCCGCGGCCTGGGGCAGGCCTGGAAGGGAGCGGGCGGCCGGGGAGGAGCGCCGGTGCCGGCAGGTCGGCGCGTGACTCGGCCGCCCCGTGCAGGCGTTCGAGATGGTGACTGGAGAGCGCCTGTTTGAGCCCCAGGCTGGGAGATACTTCTCTCGAGATGACGGTAGGAGCCCGCCGGGTTCAGCGGCAGCGCGGCCCCGGGCGGCGACACGCGCACGCCCAGCCCTCCCTCTCCCCCAGATCACATCGCTCGCATCATCGAGCTCCTGGGCAGCATCCCCCCCAGCATGGCCCTCTCCTGGAAGGGCGCCTCCGCCTTCTTCAGCCGCCGAGGTGAGCGCTGGGGCAGCCCCGCGGCCGGGCTGGGCGCCGGCTGCAAGCGGGGGC